TCAGGTTAGAGGACAAGCTCCTTAGTTGGCCTCAAAAGACTCTCCAAGACCTGCCCCTCTTCTGTCCCCAGCCTCAACAGACACCGCTTTACTTGTGTTCCAGCCCTGCCCATTCATATCACTCCTTCGCTACCTCCAGCCTCCACAGCTTTACATGTAACCTCCTACTGAGGGCCCCTCCCTCCACTTGGAAATTTCTGCAGATTTCTTTTAGGCTCTCTCTCTTCTGTGAGGTCTTCCCAGGTGGCACAAGTGGTAAAGAAACCACCCGTCAATACAGGAGACAAAAAAGATGAGGATCGGATCCCTGGGTCGGGAAGATCCCCTGGAGGAGGGCGTGGCAACCCACTCCAGTATTCCTGCCTGGAGAATCCCATGGAGAGAGAAGCCTGGCGGGCTACAGTCCCTGGGGTCACAAAGAGTCCAACATGACTGAAGTGGCTTCACACAACGCACTCTTCTGTGAAGACTTTCCTAACAGTCCCTCCCAGGAATGTATCAAATGTCTCTCCCTTTGCTCTCCAGAGCCCTGGCTTGCCTGGTCATTCTTCTGTTTCCACGCCTGATCCCCAACTACCTGGGGCAGCGCTTGGCCTTGTTCACAGGTGAAACCCCTGCCCTGGTGTGATGAGTGACACGTGGCAGGCTGTTGATTCAAATTTCCTGACCTGGGCACACACCGTGCCTGTCCAACCACATCAGAGGTGGAGGGCCATGGGAAAGAGCCCCAGCTCAGACGCCAATTTCTTTTGTGATGCTAAAACCTCCCTCAGGAAGTGCACCTGAGATCAGTGTGCAGCCATCTAGAAATGATTCATGCTTGAACAGAATATTTGATGTTACTGAGCACCCAGAGTCTGGGGAGCTCAGTGAGTATTAGGGATATCCATGAATCCCCTCCAGCTCTTGCAGGTAAGACAGGGCTTCATCCACACAATGTCTTATATTTTTAATGAAAGAGATCTTCCAGGATGGACAGAGCAGCAGACCATCTTACTTGAGGCCAGATAAGAAGCAGGGGTGGGACAAGGAGAGATGGTAGGGTGCACTCAATACCTGCTTAAGTCCCATGACAATCAGGCAATTCTAAAAGAGAAATATGGTGGGGAGAAAGTGGGTATACCTGCATGTGCTATGCTTAGTCGATCAGTCATGCCCAACTCTCTGCAATCCCATTTACTGTAGCCCATTTATCCCCATGGACTGTAGACTTTGTCCATGGGGATTCTCCAGGCAAGAATACCGGAGTGGGTTGCCATGCCCTCCTCCAGAGGATCTTCCCAACCCAGGGATTGAACCCAGGTCTTCCACATTGCAGGCAGGTTCTTTACCAGCTGAGCCACCAGGAAGGCCATGTGCATTAAAATATAGTATTTGGACAAGTGACAAGCTTTGCCCCAAAAAGACAGCCAGAGGGCCACAGAGGTAACCTTGGTGAGGAGAAACGTTAATTCACAGATGGAAACACTGAAATCAGGAAGGTGGGGCCTCCAAAATCACCCAGACTGTTGCTAGATGAATAGACAGAGGCCCACAGAGGTGAGAAGGCCAGGTCAGCAGTCCTGTGAGCAGTCAGGTTCAGAGTCGGTATGAGCACTCAGTGCTCAAATCTAAACCTTGAGCTTATTCCACTGTTTCCTGGTGTCTTGCATGGAAAGAGGGCTCTTAGAAACCACCATCTTCCTATCAGTAGTTTTTCTCCCCCTGCCTGTCCTCTGCCCCCAACACCCTCTAAAAGATAAATGAAAAACAGGGATAGAGAGAGAATGCATCTGGGGACATTTCTCAAAAAAGTTGGAACTTCTATTATGGGCAATTACATCTGTCATTTGGAAATTACAGATATCGTGAATTATGTGCCAGGCATGTCACTTTTCTTATAACGTATGCCTTAGCAACCCATCGTTGACAGGTAGCTACCATTATAATGTACAGAGACAAGGCAGATGGCTGAGGGGACAATTTTGATGCACTGAAGGTCACAGAGAGCTAACGAATGTAAGAGTCAGGATTTCCAGCTCACTTTGTCTTACGTTGTGTAATTAGACATAGAGATTTTGCTCATTTTCCAGGACCAAAAAAAATTAAAAGAAATAAGGTACTGGGATTGTTTTTTACTGCACAGCTGCCCATTCATTCCCAGCACTTGGCATCTTTGTGAGATGGGGATCACCATATTTCACAAATGAGGAAACAGGAAGACCATGTGTCCTTGTCCCTGGTCCTCTTAGAACCAGGATTCAAATCTAGGCCTTCCTGATCCAGCCTTTGTGCTTTTCCATTACACTGGAGCTGAAATCAAGGAAAGACATTGAAGGGAGAGAAGTACATTTTCAGTTTAAAATACTCCATCAGATGTTTCCAGCAAACGTTATAGGAAGGCCATTCAACACCAGATTACCGTTATTCTAAAGTACCCACTCAAAAAGATATGAGCATTTTTAAGACAAAATATGTGTTTTTGTTCTCCTTTGCTCTGCTTCAGTGGGTTGACCCTAAATAACGCACAACAGCCCAGCAAGCATCCTTCAGGCTTACTGCACAGACGGAGACTGAGGAAGGTGGCTCAGTCAGCCTTTGTGCAGCCTCTTCTGGGGCCGGTGGTCATGCTGCAGGTAAGACTTGTGCATGCCTTCAACAACCATCCATCACGACAGCGGCTGTGCCAGGCGCAGGGACCACATTTGGGACAGAATAGAACCCAGATCCTGCCCACAGGAAGCATGAACTCTAGAAGAGTGATGAATGCAAGTGACAACGGCATGACACAGCACAAGCTGTCACGGAGCAGGTCCAAAGTGCTGTAGGAGCACAGGGGGACTCCAGAAAGGCTTCCTGGAGGAAGGGGCATTTGAGTTGTGTCATGAATGGAAAAAGGAAATGAGAAGTGGTTCGTTTGAGGCAGAGAGACCAGTGTGAGCAATATCAGGGTTAGAAAAGAGCAGAGGATGGTATAAGAGAGTGCAGCCATGCCATCAAGCTGTAAACCTTCAAATTAGGCAAACACTTGGTAAACATCTGGCATTACAGAGCTGGATGAAGGTGAACTTTGCCCCAATGAGCTCACAATGTGTGTCCAATGAATCCATCTAACCAACACTGAAATGAGTCCCCACCATGTGCAAATCACTGTTCACAGGGTAAAATGCTCAGTCCAGCCCTGCGGAGAGCAAACCTCAGTGTTCCCAAACTAGTTAAGCACTGCGTTTGATGTCAAAGCCCTTGACCTTCAACATCTGCAGGCAAGGATGACATGCTATGTTTCCTCTGATAAAGCCCTCTTTATATTTCCCTGAGCATATCTTGCACCAGATTACAGGGTTTCAGCTGTGAGCCAATATCTCTACTCCTTGTGCCTAGCTGAAGTGCGTTGAATGATTTGCTGATCTGAGAAAGGGAGTTTCTTTAGAAAATGATAAATCATTTTATTTGCATGAGACATTGTTAAGTTCTTCCCCATCTATCCTCCCCATAATCCCACCTGATGGTCCCAAGAGCCTGGCAAGCATCAAGAACTGTTAGCATCCCCATTCCACAGATGAGCCAAGGGAGTCTCAGTGAGGTGGGGAAACTCAAGGTCACGTAGCAAGTGTATGAAGAAATCAAGGTTCCCATCCATGTTTCCTGGCTCCCAAATCATGTCCTCTTTTTTTCTACACCTCACCATCTGCCCGGAATACAGTAATATCATCCTCATTAAGACACAAATCCCAAATGAAAGGCTGGTCAAATCATAACCCCACAGGCAACATAACTACAGCATAAATTAAAAGCCCAATTAAAGAACATGGCCTTTTTACTGGGACTTAGCACTATCCCCAGAAGCCTGAGTATAAAGAGAGAGCCTGTAAAAGTCAATGGCTGCCCATCTCAGAAATTACCCAGAGACCCACTTACCCATATGCAAAGAGACGTTAGACCCAAATTATTCACCCAACTTCGTCTCCCTCCTCTACCAGTCTTCTGAAGCCCTGACCCCTGCAGAGCTGGGTTTGGAACCATGCCCAAACCTTTGCCCCTCTCTCTGATCTGCAGACAAGGTTAACAGTCCATCACTCTGGGAATAGCACTGGTGCCTCTCAGCTCTGACACATCCCCTAATATCAGGGAAAGAAGAATCTGATGGAAAAACAATGCCTCTGTAGTTCAAACAGAGAACTGAAGCTGAATTTTCTAGCTGTCTGAAAGTGAAATAGTTTGCCCATGGCTGGCATCCTCTTTGGCCAAGCAGACAAAGAGTGTTATTATAATCCCTGAAAGTCTTATTTTGCTGACAATAGTTCTAGGGACGGCTAGAACATGAGTTAAGGGGGAAGAAAGAGGGAAATTTTTGACCGTTCATTTATAATTTTATATCTATTCCCACTCCACCCCTCATGGCCAAAGGCAATCATGTGATAAACTTCAGGGATACCCCTGGGTCCAAAGATGATAACAGTTACCACTCCCCCTTGTCTAAACATCCCTTCTAGTTGCTAGGCTTGAAACTGACTTTACAAAACAAGACCTGGTGAGCCCTCTGCTCCCCTTCCGTGTCAAATGCCACCCACCCTTGCCCCTGGCCAAGCCACAGGGTCAGCCAGGACCACAGAGAATCACCACCCCTACCTTAGTTCGCCCCAACATGGTCCTCTCCCCAGCCTGCTCTGGGTCAAGGGCTCCGAGAACCTGCCTGCAGAAGGGTCGGGATGTGCCCTCTCAGTCTCCATCTGGGACTTCCGTGGGGACCACCTCATTAACCCAGCGTCTCCCCACCAAGTCACATCAGATTGCCCCTCGTACCCTCTCAAGACGAGTCCAGATGTGCCCTGAGACTAGAAGACAGAGAGACTGGGGGAGACAGAAGGAGATAAAGCACATTTCGCGGCGGCGGAATCCCTGTTAAGTAAGCAAGGCATCCAACTAGCAACCACGCTTCCAGAAACGTCACTGCCACAGAGGACAGAGTTTTGCAGCTGCCGAGCCCGGAGCGCTCTCACCTACCTGTCTTCCCGCTGCAGGGCTCCCCTCTCTCACCTCCGGGGCCACCAGCTCCTGGGTCCCTCACTCAGCTCTTTCCGCCTCCTCCAGTCGCCAACACTTGCAGCGGAGTCCGGGCACCTGCGAGCTCGGTCTCGGGTCCCCGCAGCAAGGCTGCCTGGAGGAGGAGCGAGAGGCTGCTGCCCTCGCCGCCGCCGCCGCCGCCGCCGCCGCCGTGGTGCTGATGCGGTTGCTATGGTTATGGAACTCCGCAACTGCCCCCCTCTCGGCGCAACAGCTGCCCGGCCGCGGCCTCTTCCGGGGCAGCCCCGGTGAAGCGGGGCCGGGTGGCAAGGCTGTCAACGCTGGCGAAAGGGACCCGCCGCCACCACTGCGAAAAGGAAAAAAAGGACCGAGCGCCCGCGCCCGCGCTCTCGGCTCGCGCCCGCTGGCTCCGCTCACCTCCGCGCCCTCGCTTCTCCCCTTCCCTCGCCGGGACGCGGCCAGACCCCGGCGCCCGGCGCGCAGCGCGCCCTCGCGGCCTGGAGAGCCGTTTCTGCCGCCGCCGGCTGGCCCGGCTCCCCGCAGCCCTGCGCACCGCCCCGAGGCTGCGCGTCGGGCGCGGAGGCGCGGCGCCCCCTTTCCCCAGCCTCGGCCCTCTCCGCCACCAGTCGGGGACGGGAGCCGGCGGGCCGGGCCGGATGCCCAGGAGACAGACCCCGCCCGCTCGCCCGCCCGCCTGGCCCTGTAGTGGGGCGCAGACCCGAAGCCCACCGGCTCCCACCAGCCAGTCCTGGCCACGAGCATGCTCAGTCTTCGCCTCGGGAGTTGCCCTCTGAATTAAAGACTAGGATGCCCCGGGGAAATAGAAAGGTTCTCTCCAGACCTCACTCTGCCCTCTCCCCAACCCAGGGAGGCGGCGGACCGATGACAGGGGTTAGAGAGGGCGGCAGTGATGGTCAACTTTGAAGAGGGGCCCAGGGGCAACACATGTTTGCCTGAGAAAGGGTTAATGCCCTAAGCAATCAATATCTCCTATACAATCAGCAGTGGCTGTCAATCAGTCGACTAACCCATCATTGGCTAGTCACTTACTTCATGCTGGACATTAAAGATTCAGACATGTCTACGATTCGGTCCACGGAAGAGGGGAGAAGATTGAGGAGAGTGTAACCGACTGCCTGTCTAGTGAGCATCCTTCACCAGGCATTGCACATGGAGAGGTCTCTAGTTCTTGCCATCTCTGTTTTAGGAAGGATTCCTGGTACCCATGATACAGACAAGAGTCTCAAAGAAATGAGCCAAGATTGGGACTGTGGACACCAGTGCTTCCTCCTTTAGACTGGGTTGCACTAATTCACAATCCAAAAAGAGATGTGCTTGTAACCAGTTACAACTGGGGTGATTAGCGTCTAACCCAAAGGAATGTGCCCCAAAACCTAGTCTTCCATTCACCCCCAATTCCTTTTGTGGTAAAATAGCATTATGGCTTTTCGCTGTGAAGTCTTCCTCTTCATTTCCTCCTCTGCTCATGATAAGGAGAGGAGAAGCACAGAGATATTATAGAAACTGAGGCCTCCAGGCAGTCAGGATTAGGGAGCTGTGTGGACATGACCCATGTACTGGGACCCAGGGGTCTCCCCATGGACACCAATCACAGATCCCTGGTGGTCAACAGAATATCCAATATCATGCAACTGGAGCACTGCCCTCTGGGTCCTAAGGTTCCCTCGCCCAATGCCTTTATGTGGACAAAAACTCGGGGCCCTGCTCCAAACTGGTGTATTCTCAGCCCCGCTGGAAGAGGCTCTGAACAGCTAGGGGACTGCAAGAGGTCTCAAGAAAAGCCCTGACCACTGCCCAGGGGGGTCTAGGTGGAGCCAACTGAAAAGCAGAAATAACCCTCCACAGTTATCCCACCAGCCAAGGAATGACCCGCCATCCATCAAATCACACAAGCCAGAGACCTATCACCAGCCTGCGGTCCTAGGCTCCCTGCTTGCTTTTCTCTACCCATCCGGTTCCACTCCACCCACACACACCTAATGAAATATACCAGCTTCGGTCATTTCCACCATGTAAGCAGCAATCAACGTTGTCATTAGCAGGGACCTCACAGGAATTTTTTTTTTTTTTTTATGTCTTACAGCAGGAAGCTGTGAGTACTAGTGTCTAGAGAAATGGGTCTCAGCATTATGGTTTGAGGTGAGCATCTCCAGATGGGACAGGAGGACACTGACAGATACAGAGCCCAGTCTAGCCCCAGATGAAAGGTAACACCCCACGTGGAAGAGCTGAGAGATACAGCTAAGTGTGGGGAGCTCCTGGTTGAGTTTGGTTCTGGAGGGAAGGAGGTAGCCCCCTCACAGGGCCACAGGGCTTCAAGCCCCTTCAGAATGAGCAAGCGATGACAGCTGAGTGGACCTGCATTGTCTCACTTTGTTGCAGAAAGCAGGCTTTCGATGGTGACATCCTGTGGCAAAAAGAAGCAACTGTCTTTTCATGTGCCTGTTGGTCATCTGTATGCCCTCTTTGGATAAGTATCTATCAGATTTTCTGCTCAATTTTTAATCTTAGTTTGGTTGCTTTCTATTGACTTGTGTGAGCTATTTATATATTCTGTATTTTAACCCCTTACTGGTCATATCATTTGTAAACATATTTCCTGTTTGGTAAATAAACATCTTCATTTTGGCAATAGTTCCCTTTGAGAAATGCAAATCGTAACTACAGTGAGGCTTCCCTTCAGAGCTGTTAGAATGGTCATCATCAAAAGGGCTATAAGTAACAAACGTTGGAGAAGATGTGGAGAAAAGGGAACCCTTGTACACTGTTTGGAGGAATGTAAACATGGTTTACATAGTTCTATGGAGAACCATGTGGAGGCTGCTCAAAAAACTAAAAACAGAATTACTGTATGATCCAGCAGTTCCACTCTTGGTTATTCGTTGTTGTTGTTGTTGTTTAGTTGATAAGTCAGGTCAGACTCTTATGACCCCATGGATTGTAGCTCGCCAGGCTCCTCTGTCCAAGGGATTTTCCAGGCAAGAATACTGCAGTGAGTTGCTGTTTTCTTCTCCAGGAGATCTTTTCAACCCAGAGATTAAACCCATATCTCCTGCTCTTCAGGTGAATTATTCACCATTGAGTCACCTGAGAAGCCCAGGAATAGAACTACCATATGATCCAACAGTTCCATCCCTGGGTATATAGCCAAGAAAAAACAAAAACATGAATTTGAAAAGCCACGTGGATCCCAGTGTTCATAGCAGCAGTGTTACAATAGTCAAGACATGGAAACAACCTGTGTCCATCAACAGATGGATAGATGGGCATACTAGGCACAAGACACTATTCTAAACTCACTTCATCTTCACAACAACCCGTATGTAACCCTCTTAGGAGGAAACGGAGGCAAAATTGCAGAACTTCACTGAAATCAAACAGCTAAAGGGAGCTAAGCCTGGATTTCAGCTGCTGACTACTGTGTAACACAGCCTATATTCTCTGTTGTGACCGTGGTTTACATTATCTGTCATTTGTATTTGTAAATTATACAGGAATCCTACCAGCATCATCTAGTGCAGGATTCTCAACTTATGCATTATTGATAGTTGAGAGCAGGTGATCATCATGAGGACTGATGCCGAAGCTGAAGTTCCAATCCTTTGGCCACCTGATGCGGAGAGCTGACTCATGGGAAAGACCCTGATGCTGGGAGGCAGAGAGGGCAAGAGGAGAAAGGACGACAGAGGATGAGATGGCTGGATGGCATCACCGACTCAATGGACATGAGTTGGAGCAAGTTCCAGGAGTTGGTGATGGACAGGGTGTGCTGCAGTCCATGGGGTTGAGAAGAGTTGGACTTGACTGAGCAACTGAACTGAACTGAGCTGATTGTTGTGAAGGCTGCCCTGTGCATTATGGGATGTTTAACACCTTCCTTGAACCCTGCCCACTGGATACCAGTAGCACCCTGCCCCCTGCTCCACCACCCTCAATTTTGACAAACCCAACAATCTCTAGATGTCCCTGCGCAGGGAGTGGGGTGAGAAAAATCATCCTATATTGAGAATCACTGATCCAAAAAATAGACTTAGGGGAAATTTTGTAACAAATTATAATGAATGCAGATTCAATTTCAAATAAAATTACTTACATTTTAAAAAATCAGGCCAGAATTTATTAGATATGATCAGATCATCTTTGTTTTTCCTTGAAGATTGGGCTGGCAAAGGCTTTCTTCCTGTCAAGGTGCTTGCTTGATCTTCTTGTTCACTCGTACTTCCATTACAAGTACATCTGTCTTTAATCTAGGTACATGTATTTCAAAGGGGGTCTTTTCAAGTTGTTTAACCAGTTTGAGAGGATCAATTTAAACTCTTACATGATCGTAATTTAATTCCCTGGTGGCTGAGATGGTAAAGAGTCTGCCTGTGACGCAGGAGACCCAGGTTCATTTCCTGGGTGGGGAAGATCTGCTGGAGAAGGAAATGGCAACCCATTCCAGTACTATTTCCTGGAGAATTCCATGGACAGAGGAGCCTGAGGGGCTATAGTCCATGGCGTCACAGAGTTGGATACAACTCAGTGACTGTCACTTTCACTTTTCAAGCACCGATGGGCTGTAGCATTTCCCATTACGCTGAGTGAAGGGAAGCGCTGTCAAGTTCTACACGCCATATGGTGCTTGGAACCACCCCCCGGGTCATGCCAGGCAGGTGCCTGTCGACATGTGGACTGAAGGCATCCTCAACCCATCTTCATATTTAACGTTAATGAAACAATCATTTTTAAAGGCAGAGTTCAATGTAAATGGACACTTCAATATATTCAGACTCTAGATTCTAAAATATGGGTCGTGTCGCATCTGCCCACTCCCAACCTAGAGACCTGCCTTTTTTTTTTTAAATCAATTATGGATCCATTAGAATCAGAAGGACCCAATGTGAAACCACGTTCAGCCGTTTCCCACTTATGTGAGCTAGGACTACGCGCCTAGGACATAATCTGCATGAACACGTCCCCTCATCTGCAGGTTTAATACACACCGGAAAGGACACTAACCTCTGGCCAGTCATGGCAGCCGTTCTAATTCATTCTCATTCTTCACAGCTGTGAAGCTGCATCTGTCAGCCCTCCTCATAGCTGATGGGGAGCTTCGCGATGGAGTCCGTGCCAAGTCAGGTAAGCAGAGGTGAGGTGACTTCCTATGGGAGGAAAGAGTGGATGTGAGTTACACACACAGGCGCGCGCACACACACACACACACACACACACACATTCACATAATGTTTCTTCTATTGGTACAACTGAAAACAAAAAAAATGAATAAGCCCAGACAAGAAAATGGCTAATTCAAAATGGAGACACACCAGAGGTTGCCTCTGAAGCTCCTGATGGTGGTGGCCTGACCTGCATCAGACTACAATGGAGCAAAAATTAACTTATCTATGTCACCGAGATTTCAGTTAATCTGTTTACAGGTTAGCATTGAATACCTGACATTGGCTAACACTGAGTAGAGAAGCACAAACTTCCAAACCACTAGATAATCCCTGGACTAGGAAATGGCAACTTGTTCCAGTATTCTTGCCAGGATAACCCCATGGACAGAGGAGTCCAGTGGGTACAATCCACTGGGTCACAAAAGAGTCAGACACGACTGAGCACACACACAGAGAGCTCCTGGTCAGGGAACTAGGTCCCACATGTCACATCGGAGAGTTCACATGTTGCAACTAAAGGTCC